GCTAAGTTGCTGAGGCTGGCTTTGAATTTCAGGCACAGATACTATTAAATCAAATATCTTTTACAAATTCAAATGCACATATACATATATCCATGTGCAGCCCTATTCTTGACTAAGATAAGTATAATTAATATTCATCAAATATGACTTGTATCAAGTAATTGACTACAAGATAATAAAAAAAAATCTTCAGAGGGTGTGTAGAGAGCAGAATGTGGTGGCACATGCCTGTAATCCCAGCAGCTCCGTAGGCTGAGGCAGGAGGATTGAGAATTCAAAGCCAGCCTCAGCAAAACCGAGGCGCCAAGCAACTCAAATAGGAAATAGGGCTAGGGATGTGGCTCAATTGTTGAGTGCTCCTGAATTCACTCCCTGGTACTCCTCTCTCCCCTCAAAAAAGGTGTGCAGAGACAAGAGTAATAATACCACCTTCCTTGCTTCTCCAAACCTAAGCCTAGTAATTTCTCCTACCTGTAGATGGCAGCACTTGAGCTCCCTTTCCTGCTGTGATTGGGCTGGTTTGGGGACTTTGCCCCCAGGCACTTTTCTAGATTGCTAGGATACAGCAAGGAACAGTCGAAATCCACAGCCACGTGAGTTTGCGTTCCAGTGAGGCGACTCACAAACAAGCCATGAAGCAGGTGTTCCCTGTGTGTCAGGTAGGGACAGGCAGGAGAGGGGTGCCGGAAGGGTTTCCCTAGGAAGTAGCCATTAAGTAGGGAACTGGGAATTGTAAGGGAGGGGATCATGGATATCTGGGGGAGCAGATTTTAGGCAAAGGAAATGGCAACTTCTTTGCCCATTGTTTGGCAAGAGCCAGTCCTGGTTAGACCCAGCACTCTTCCTACTGCACACCCAGGTCTGCACAGCTGACACTTGGCTAGGAAAAAAAACATGCCTGGTGCTGCTGGCTTTGTGGAAGCTCACACCCAGATTCTCAGGGTGGAGCTGGGGAGCTAAGGGGAGCCTTCGGCTTGCTGGGGTCATTCACGCTCCCTCTCCCCTAGATGGCCAGTTACCAGCAGCAGCTTCACCGGCTTCATGCTCAGCCAACCTCCTCACCTCCTATTTCACTGGCAAAATTCTAACCTTCAGAAGGCTCCCATGCTAAGATCCCAATACCTTATGTACTTACCTATTTGAGTCTGTCAAATCCTTCCCCTCCGTTACCATGGGTGAGGGGAGATGTGTACTGGAGTCCAGCTCCTCTACCACTCTGGAACGTTATTCCAGAAACTCTGCCTCCCTTTGGCATTGGTCATGCTCTTCCCCCAGCCCCACCACGTCAGGCCAATCCCATCAACCTTGAACATGCTCTTCCATCTCCCATATTTTATGTTTTTTATTTTTATTTATTTATTTATTTTTTAACTATTTTGGTGCTGGGAACGGAACCCAGGGCCTCACACATGCTAGGCAAGTGCTCTACCACTGAGCTACACTCTCAGCCCATTAGGTGTCCCTTTCTCAGCAAGACCTCCCCTGACCTTTGTATTTAACCCTGTGCCCCGCCTCATGTCCTCTTCCTGGCTTCATCTGTCTCCACAGTGCTCCTTCCTTTCCGACATCCTCTCTAAGGTCCTACCTACTTTGTTTATTATCCACCCTTCCTATCTGTACATACAAAAATGTATGTCTAAAGAGGACAGAAGTTTCTTCTACTTTGTGCATAGCACCTGGAGAAGGGCCCAGGCCATCACAAGTGCTTGGTAAGGTAATGTATGCTCCGTGCAAGAAGGAATGTACGGTGAGGACAAGGAACAGCTAAGTCACCGTGGCTGGAGCAGAGCAAACAGGGGAGTATTGGGAAATTAGGCAAAGAGGCCAGATTACAGATCTTACTCTCAGTGTGGTTCAGGACACTGCTGAAGAGTTTGGAGATGGGAGGGACAGGATCCGATGGATGTCACTGAGATGCAGGCCTAGTTGAAAGTTTCACATAATGAGTGTGACCATGTGACAGACAGTTTTTTTTTTTTAACCTCTGTTAACTTATGAAATTTGACTGCAGGACTAAAGGAAAGCTGTGTGTTGATAGTGGCACCTGTGATATAGACAGGGTCAGAAGGGAATGACCTCTACCTTGGAAAGGAGCCATGCTTTACTGGTTGCTATGGACTGAATGTGTTTGCCCCATCCCAATTCATATGTTGACATCCTACTCCTGTGGGTGATGAGGTCCTGAGAGTGCAGCTCCATGAATAGAATTAGTACCCTCATGAAAGAAGTCCAAAGGAGCTCTGACACCTGCCACTGTCCCAGGACACAGCAAGAAGGTACCATCTGTGAACTAGAGAGAAGCTCACGCCAGAAACCGTCTTTGCTGGAGCCTTTGTCTTGGACTTCCCAGGCTTCAGTTCTATGAATAATAAATTTCTGTTGTTTATAAGCCACTCAGCCTATGGTACTCTATTATGGCAGCCTGAATGGACTAAGATATGGATAAAAACACAACCCTAAACGTTTCTCCTTCAACAAACAAAATTAAAGTTCATTTGTAAACACTTAGAACTCTCCATGCTCTGTTGACCTACTAATAAAAATATTCAGCTCAAGTTGTTTGCTTTTTAAACAACTGGTGTGTAGGTATGTACACAATTTTTTAAAGATATGAATCAAGAGGTGTTTCCAAGCACATGATACTGGTCTATGTTAAATAACTGTGGCTGGTTTCTAAATGTTATGTGCAGAATTTGAAAGATCTGTCTTGAGTATAAACAGTAACACTAAAACATTTGTGGTCTCCAGGCCATGTTTAGCATTTCAGTTATTTATTTCAGTTATTTATTTATTTATTGCAGTACTGGGGATGGAAACCAGAAATACTTACCACTAAGCTACATCTCCAGCCCTTTTAAAAAATTATTTGAGACAGGGTCTCATTAAGTTGCTGAGGCTGGCCTCAAACTTGTGATCCTCCTGCCTCAGCATCCAAAGTCAACACCCATGGGTTAGTATCTTATAAGCTTTTTTTTTTCCAGGACTGGGGATTGAACCCAGGGCCTCACAACATGGTAGGCAAGTGCTCTACCACTGAGTCACACCCCAGCCCTAGAAGACTCTTTTAAGATAAAAATGCCTAATTCTAGCTGGGTGATGTGGTGCATGCCTATAATCCCAGCAACTCAGAAGACTGAGACAGGAGGATTGTAAGTTTAAGGCCAGCCTCAGCAATTTAGCAGACCCTCAGGAACTTAATGAGATTCTGTTTCAAAATAAAAATTTGCCAAAGGATCAGGGCTGTGGAACAGTGGTAAAGTGCGCTTGGGTTCAATTCTAGTACAAATAAAACAAAGCAAAACTCTCCTAATTCTAGTTTAATATTTTATAGCAGTACTTCTCAAACTTTATTTGCACCCCACCCCCATCTTGTTAAAATGCAGATTCTGGTTCAGTAAATTGGGGCTGGGCCTGAGACTGGATTTTCAACAAGCTCCTGGGGTATTCAGACTCTACTCTTTGGTGAACCACACTTTGGATTTATGGAATTTAAAGCACTCTCATGCAAGTCATCTTATTGGTCATTGTCACAACCCTACAGACAGGATTCGCTAATACACATATTCAACCAAGCACTGAGCATACAGATATGGTCTTTTTAACAAAATATTTATTTTTTAGTTGTGGTTGGACACAGTACCTTTATTTTATTTTTATGTGGTGCTGAGGACTGAACCCAGGGCCTTGCACATACTAGGCAAATGCTCTACTGCTGAGCCACAAACCCAGCCCCCAGATACAGTCTTATGGGGTGGAAAACCAAACACCAAACAAAAAAGGCATGTAGACAGATAAATAAGTAATTATAGTTGACCCTCTTCGACACATCTGGGGATTCAACCAATAGAATGAACAGCAACAAAAAAGTTGTACATGTACTGAACATGTATGAACTTTATTTTTGCATCATTAATTCCTAAAAATAAAACCTAATGTCTATTTACATAACATTTACATTGGATTAGGCTTCATAGGTAATCTAGAGATGAGTTAAAAGTGTATGGGAGGGTGTGTCTAGGTTTATATGCAAATGATGCTCTTTTATGTAAAGGACTTGAGCATCTGTGGAGTTTTATATCCACTGAAGGCAATGTCTGGAACCAAATCCCCAGTAGACACTAAGGGATGAGATGACTGTATGTAAGTGACTAGCCCTGAGCAGGAGATAAAGAGAAGGCTGAAAAAGAACAGCAGGAGGTGATTTAAATTCAGAGGCAGAGAGGCAAGGCTCTGGACAGACACCAGGCCGCTTTGGCAGGGAGGGAAGACCCCCAAATCAGGTTAGAGGAGGCAGGGCTGGTCAGGTGCAGAAGGCCCCGGTAGAGTCCAGGGTATGCGTTGATGCTTTAAGTAGGGACCTGACAGGTCTGGTCTTTGCCTTAGGATCGCTCTGCTATGTGGGAAATGAAACCTCTCCAGGGTCACATTGGAGTCGTATAGGGTGTGTCGGGACAAGCTGGGGCTTGACAAGAAATCAAGACTGGTGCCCCTGGAGTCGCATGGACACACTTGGGGACCAAGAGTCTCCGTATGAATAAGGTACCCACAAGAGCACCTGTTTTTATCGCCGCACGCAGGACGTCAAAGGCGCGCTCGCTCCAGGGCTCAACCTGACTTTCCTTTTACTTCTTTTCAGAGGACCTGTACTTCCATCTTCGCTTTGCTGGTCACGCTGACATCTTGGCCATCTCTCTCCCTCTCTGCCACAGTCTGGATGACACCAGCCACAGGAGACAGCGCCGATTTCCAATTGTGCACCTCCCTCAAATCGGGCAGCAGGCACAGCCCGGGGATCTGAGGCACGGTAGGGCGAGGAGCGCGCGCGCTCTAGAAACTCTGAGCAAACTTTAAGCCACCGGTCTTCTGCCACCGCAGGCTGCCCAGGCCGCGGGGGCGTTTCCTCGCTTAGGACCCCGCCCCGCGCTGCCAGGGGCGGGGCCCGCGGAGTGCCCGGGACAGGAAGAGGGCGGGGGGATCCGATCCGTCCGGGACTCGCAGCGGGGCTGAAGGGGCGGAGGGGAACTCCCGCGCCATCCCCGGGCGAGAGCGCGGGGCGCACCTCGGGGTTCCCTGGCCCGTCCGGGGGCGGAGGCTCGGCCAGGCTGCCGACACAGGCCTGCCCCGGGGGCCCGCCCGCGCCGTCCCCGCCCCTCGGCAGCCACCGCCACCGCCTCCGCCTGCCGGCCGCCCGGGACGCACCCGGCGGGCTAGCGAGCGGCCGGCACGGCTCCCTGTCCGGCGCACTCACTTCCGCGTCTCGCCGCCTGGGCCGAGCACCCAGCCGCCGCCATCGCACACCCGGCCGCTCCGGGACCCAGCTGCCGAGACTCCCGCCGCGGGGAGACCGCCCGCGCCCCCGCCCCGCGTCGTAGGACCCCAGCTCTGGCCCCAGGAAGCCCCGGAGGACCGAGCGCGCGCCTGCGCCTACGGCCGCCACGCTTTGCTCGGCGGGATCCGGCTGGCAGCCTCCGCACGGTGCTGGCCGACCCGGCCCTAGCCCCGCGGCTGCCCGGTGCATTCCCAAGTTCGGTTGCCTAAGGTGGATGGGATGTGCCTTTTCTTTCTCACTCTCTTTTTTTTCTTCTTGCCTATTTCATTTTCTTCTTTGATTTGAAAAAAGAGAAAAGGACTCCGCAGAGCAGGCCAGGGACAACTGAGTTCCAATCGCCCCCACGTGGACGCTCTCTAGGGGAAAAGAAGTTGGAAGGAAACTTGGTCCAGCTGGTCCGGAGGCCTCAACTTTGACTGGACTCGAAGCCCTAGAGTCATGACCCTCACATCGGACAGGTGGAAGTCTTTACCTGTCCTGGGCTGGACTTAAGCTCCGGCCCTTTACCAGCACTCTCTCCGCACCCCCGTCGCCACCACACTCACATTTGGCATTTAGGCTACGCCTGGACACTGGTCAGCAACATGGATAAGTATGACGATCTGGGCCTGGAGGCCAGTAAATTCATCGAGGACCTGAACATGTATGAAGCCTCCAAGGATGGGCTTTTCCGCGTGGACAAAGGTGCAGGCAACAACCCTGAGTTTGAGGAGACACGCAGGGTGTTTGCTACCAAGATGGCCAAAATCCACCTTCAGCAGCAGCAGCAGCTCCTTCAGGAAGAGACCCTTCCCAGGGGGAGCAGAGGCCCTGTCAATGGTGGGGGCAGGCTGGGCCCACAGGCCCCCAGGGAAGCTGGTGTGGGCAGCAAGCTGACTGTGGATGGTGCTGCCAAGCCCCCTCTTGCTGCCTCCACAGTGGCGCCTGGGGTAACCACCACCACTTCCACTGGGCAGCCTATATACCCACCCCAGGAGCAGAGGGCCAGGCCACATATCCATGGCATAAGGCCTGGTAGCCAGGACTGTGGTTCCAGGGAGGACCCATTGAGTTCTGAGAGGTCTGCTTTCCACCGTCCCTGCGAAGATCCTTCCTGCCTCACTCATGGAGACTATTATGATAACCTCTCTGTGGCAAGCCCACCATGGGAGGACAAACCAGGAGTGTCCTCCAGCATCGGCCTGGGTGTAGGGAGTATGTGGCCTGATTCCTCAGGGAGTGACTCCTCATTGCCCAAAACCTGTGGGGACCATCACCTGTACCAGCCACAGCTCTCCCTGAGCTCCAGCAAGTCTTTTGAGAGTGGCCTTGGTGGCCAGGATGGTGGTGTCGGTGGCTGTAGTAGTGAGAAGCCAGCAGGACTTTGGTCTACTGCCTCCTCCCAGAGGGTGAGCCCTGGCCTTCCTTCCCCAGGCTTGGAGAATGGGGCTCCAGTTCAGCCCAGGAACCCTTCTATTTCAGCACCCCTGGCCTCCAATTGTCCCACTCAAGGAACTCTTTCAAGGACAAACTTAGGGATGGGTTGTGAGATACCAGGTGTTTTGTCCAAACCCACTGTGGACCCTCAACCCTGGTTTCAGGATGGACCCAAATCTTATCTTTCAAATTCTGCCCCATTATCAGCAGCTGGCAAGGACAGTTCACAGCTAGGTAAGGTCCCTGGGTTGGGACCGAAGTCGGGATGTGCAGACCTTGGCACTGGGCCCAAGCTCAGTACCACCAATCTTGTCCATCCAGTGATGTCCACTTCGCCTGAGTTATCTTGTAAAGAGGGTCCTCCCAGCTGGTCCCCTGACAGTAGCCTAGGACCTGTGCTCCCAGAGAGCTCCAACTCATCCAGGGTGAGGCTGCCCTGCCAAACTCTTATCCCAGGCCCTGAACTTGGACCCTCTGCTGCAGAATTGAAATTAGAAGCCCTCACCCAGCGTCTGGAGCGAGAGATGGATGCTCACCCAAAGGCTGATTACTTTGGTGAGTGAGAACCTGCTGGAGCTGCCCATGGTGGGGTGATGGGTCTCTACCAGGGATGCTGTAGCTGTCTTGAGACGCCTGTGTTATTAATTTTTTTTTACTTCCTCTTTAAACTGCTTGTCTAGTTCAGAAACTTGAAAGCATCCTTGGGCAGAAGTAGATCTTGCAGCTGGGAGTTACTCATGTGTGAAGGGTAAAGCAGGGTGGGACTATCTTAAAAAAAAGAACGGAAATGCTGTGACTTTGGATTTCAAGGGTTTTGGGGTGTGACCTTAGAGACTCTTACAGTGACAGGCTTGTAAGATCGGAGTAGCTTCTCAGGGACAGACACTTCTGAGCAGTTGGTCTGTAGCTCTCAACCGCCCGTGTGTGTGGGTGTGTCTTGTGGTTCCCGTGTGTAACTGAAGCAGGTGAATCACTGCTATTGAAGGCTGTTCTAAGGACAGTGTGTCTCTTTTCTTCTTTTCTTGCAGTTCTGGGGATTGGACCCAGGGGCACTTTGCCCCTGAGCTACACCTCCAGCTCTTTTTATATTTTTATTTTGAGACAGGGTCTCACTACGTTGCTGAGGCTGGCTTCAAACTTAAGATCCTCCTGCCTCAGCCTCCTGAGTAGCCAGGTTTATAGATTTGTGCTATTGCACCTGGCTAAGGCAGTGATTCTTGAAGTGTATTCCCTGGACCAGCCACACCCTGGTTAGAAATGGAAGCTCTGAGCTCTACCCCAGACCTACTAAATCAAAAATTCTGGGATAGGAGCGTGGACTCCACCAGCCAGGTGATCCTGATGTGAAGGGAGATTTGAGCCCTGCCTCTTAACTGAGCCCACACCCAGTACCAGCCAGCAGCCAGGTGGCACCCACAGCTGTGTCTTGAAGTAGGATGGGAGATGCTCCTTGCTGGTTTTACATAAATGTGCAGATTTTGTTTTATTATTTTTTTTAAGCCACAAAATCTGGGTGACTACTTGATTCAACTTTTTTTTCCTCTGTTGAGTGATGATTTGCTTATTTCACAGAACTATCTAGAAAGTCAGCCTATTCTGTCCGAGACCTGTTATTTTCCACTTTTGAACTCTGGATAATTGGGCTCTGATTCTCCCATAGCCTCAGTCCTGCAGCTCTGTGGAGGGAAGGGGCAGAGAAGGCCCTGGGTGGGGGGAAGATGGCTGGCTTACTGCTCCTAACCTATGCTTGCTGTCTCCCCTGAGGTCCTTGGAGAGGGTGCTAAGTGGTGGGCCAGTGGATAGCTCTGCAACCTATGGTAGTGTTTTTGCCCCTCATGAGAACTTCTGGGAGCTAGCTTTCCCCCTGCACTCAGCAGTTGGAGGTCAAGGTTACTGTTTGTTGATTTATTTTTTAAAGAAGGTATAGCACGTTCTACTGTGAACTGTCCTTTCCTTGCAGAGTCTGACCTTGGGGATAATATTTAGTTGGAGATGTCATGGGTCTTTTATTTTTAAAAAACTTTTAATTAAAAATATTTTTTTTTCTTTTCCCCATGATACTGGGGATCGAGCCCAGGAGCTTTCTGCCTCTGAGCTTTTAAAGTTTCATCCTGAGACAAGGCTCTTACTCTGGCCTCAAACTTGGGATCCTCCTGCCTCTGCCTTCTTTTTTTTGTTTAAAGAATGAGAGAGAGAGAGAATTTTAATATTTATTTTTTAGTATTTGGCGGACACAACATCTTTGTCTGTATGTGGTGCTGAGGATCGAACCCTGGGCCATGCGCATGCCAGGCGAGCACGCTACCACTTGAGCCACATCCCCAGCCCCTGCCTCTGTCTTCTGAGTAGTGGGGATTAGCTAGAATTATGTGCGTGTACCACTGTGCCTGGTTCCACGGGTCTCTTAATTTTTATTTTAATTTGTTTAGTTTTTAATTTCAAGCTAACAACAAAAAACCAGTTTTATTTATTCAGGGATGCAAGTTTGCGCTCTGGGTCAGGGCAGTGATTAGTAACCAACACTATTAATTCATTCAGTATCTATACTCCGAGCCTGTATCCTGAGCCAGCTGTATTCTAGGCGTTGGGGATACAGAAGGAATAATACTGACAGAAACCTCTTCCTCCCTGGACAGACAGTGCAGTAGAACAGGCAGGAAATGAGCAAAGCAAATGAGCAAGAGAGAAATGGGATTTTCACCTTGAAGTGAAAATGTACATCTTTCTCTCTGCCTGAGCACTGTTAATGCTGCTTGGAAGATGTTGGGTTCCTATTCAGCTGGCTCTTGGGAGGTGCTACCTGCAGGTGCAGGTGGCTTCTGTTTGCACAGCTGTTCTTGCTGCAGAGGGATGCCGGGTGGGCATGTGTTTTGTTATGCCCTGTCCTGCTCCTCTGGTTTTGGGTCCTCTCCTCATTTACTAAGGAAAAAGGACACAAATAACCACCTGCTGGGCTGGATTTCTGGGGAAACTGATTTTTAGAGTTTAGTGTGCAGGGGGCTTATTAACAGGTACTATTGGGGTTCCCACCTGTGGATGGGAGGGGAAGGAAGCTGCAGAGAAGGAGCTGGGGGTTGGAAGAACCCTTCCTTCCCATCCTGAGTTGGGCTGAGATGACCTGGCCTTCACACTCCCCATGCTCAGCCATTGGATGTGGGCCACCCTGGGGAGATGGAGACCTTGGGCAAAGTAGCTCTGTGTAGCTAGGACAGTCCCTGCAGGGGACTGCCAGCGGCACAGCAGAAGCTGGACCACTCTGCTCTTTCAATGAAGCATCCTCCACATTCCCTGCTCTTGGGGCAGGTGGCCATGGGCACTGTGGGTCTAATAATTGCTACTATCTGTTGAGTGCCTATGATGTGCCAGGCATTGGGTTAAAGCTTAGGGGGTATTATTGTCATTTAACCTTCACACAGGTATGACACAGGCTCCATTGATCTTTGTTTATAACTGAATCCAGAGAGGTTAAGTGACATGCTCAAGACCACACATGTGTGAGTAGAGACACTTTTACCCTCCTCGGGACTTTTCCTTCCACTCCGGTGACTCGCTTGGTGGAAATAGGTGGTCATGCGTGTCAAGTTGGGTGCCTTGTCTTTGCCTCTCCAGATGCCTCCAAGTGCACTGGGGGCATCTGTATGCTCCCTGCCCTTCCCAGGTCTCCTTCCCCTACAGTCAGGACTCCAGACTAATGTGTCCTCTGGACCTGCAGCCCCTGTGCCCTTCCTCCCTGTTGTGGGCAGGCCTGAGGATTTTTCAGTGCAGAAGCCACCCCAGGACAGAGCCACACACTCCCCAGCGGGGAGAAGGCTCTGCCACCTCTGTTAGGCACTGGAGGGTCAGGAAGGCAGGAATACAGAGGTTTCAGGGTTTCCTTTCTCCCACAAATGGATGGATGGCCTCCTCTCCACCCGTAAGGAGAGAGAAGAGACTGGTTATGTCTTTAGTTTATACTTTTTCGTGGTGCTGGGGATCAAACACAGGTCCTCATGCATGCTTAGGCACAACATTCTATTAGCCAGCTACATCCCCAGCCCCAATTTAAAAAAAATAATTAATTAGTACTAGGGATTGAACCCAGGGATGCTTTACCACACAGCTACATTCCAGCCCTTTTTATTTTGTAAGAGAGGGTCTCCCTAAGTTGCTGAGGGTCTTGCTAAGTTGTTGAGGCTGACCTCTAATTTGCGATCCTCCTGCCTGAGCTTCCTGAGTGTCTGGTATGATAGGCTTGCGCCTCCACGATGGCTGTCTTTAGTTTTTCTGACTTTGGTGGACATACCTGCTGCAATATTTAAACCCAGAAAGGCAGAGCCCACCCCCAGCCTGGGTGCCTGGAAACAGTTGCGATTTCTCCTGGGAATGGCTCTGCCCTTGCTAGGGCCCCAGGGAGCCTGTCCTGCCTGACCTCACTTTACTGGCCATGCAGGTGAAATGAGCTGTCCAGATAAGGAGCACCAGGAGGTCATCCCATCTGCCCCTTCCCATTTGAGTCTCCTGTCTTAGTGACCTTTTAAGCACCTCTTATCTGACTTTATTAGTGATAGATGTGTGACAAAAGGGGCTGAATTCTAGCCTAAATGGAAATGGGGAGCATTTTTCATATAAAAGGAAATAACATGGGCCAATCCTCTCATAGAGCAGCATCTCCAGAATTCCAGGACAGGGGTCTGTCAGTGCATCCCAGAGAACCCATCTACCCCCAGCCCCTCCAATATCAGACATTGCATTAAACCCAAGGCAAGTACTAAAGTAGAAGGTGGTAGGAGCTCATCAGCTACTCTGCTCTGAGTGTGCTTTCCTAGGAACTGGCAATGCTTTTGGAGATTTTCTGCCATGCTTTGGAGTCTAGGCTTCCACTGGACATGGAAGTTAATTTCTGATCCTCTGGGTAATTTTTGTAAATGACATCCAGGATTCCAGTTCTGCCTGTCTACCCCTACAGGTGTACACCCTAGGCTATGGGGATGCCCAGACCTTGAAAAATTGTTCACGTGTTTATTTATTTATTTTTTTAAGTGGACTAGGCAGTCTGCCCCTCAAGGTTAGGAAGGCAATGACTTTTTATCGATGCATATAGTGTAGGCGTGCAGTAGGTGCTCACAAAGTGAACACCAGCATCCAGATCAAAACAGAACAGGACCATCACTCAGGAAGCCCCTGGGGCCTTCACTGTCATTGCCACCCTCTAAGGATCACTGCAGCCCTGACTTCTCACAATAAAAATGAGGTTTCGAGCAAGCGTGGGGTTTGAAGTAACGTATCATGGCGTGTCTGAGGATGGGTGGAGATGGTAAGGTTGGGACACCGTGTTGGCCCACACTTTAGCTCTGTCCTTGTGTGCCAGCTCTCTCTCTAGCATCTCTCTTCAGAGTTGCTGGGGGCAGGGAAGAGGGGGAGATGGAAATGATGCAGCCCCTCCCAGACTTCACCTGGAGTGCTGCATCTCTTTATTCAGTCCACAGATACACAAGGGGCATGGGTGGTGTCCCCGTCATGCCCTTCTTGCTGGCCTGGGTGTGTGTGGAAGGGTACACGGGGATCACAGGCACCGG